TTTATTTAACTGAGATCACTTATTTTCACTTAACTGAGATCATTAATTTTCACTTAAAAAATATCGCTTATTTTCTCCAAAACTCGGCCACTAATTATCACTTAAGTCATATAAATATATAAAACATCTCAAGACAATATCACTCGTTGCATTACAACTTTCCACAATAAAGATGTGATTGATTTCAATATTTTTACTAATAATTTCTTAAATACGTTTGAAAAAAGTTTATTTACATCACAGCTGATGATTTTGGCCTAACACCATAGCTTCTATCTCGGATGTTTGTAGCGCCATTATTCTAACAATGTTTTTACAAAGTAGATGTTGGAATTAGTTAAAAGTAGTACGTTACCGAGACTCCAGCCGGTACCCCTTTCACTACTAGATTGCGTGAGAGTTGCATAAAAAAAAAGATTCAGTGAATTGCTCAGACCTGTAGCACAAGCTGAGAATACCAGCCTAATGTGTAGTAACACATTTCTGTAAATCCTCTGGCCTCGACGCAGTTAAAATATATTTTGGATTCTGTGCTGGGTGTACCCCTCGGAAAAGTCCCCAGTTGTAGTAGAGTGTATATAGATCCACCTGACTCCCGACTGGTGTTAGTTGCGGTGGATGGCGAGATTCTATACAGCGACTTAACTCCTGAGTGTGGTGATTAACTCCCTGCTTACAGTGACTTAACCTTTTGAGTATGATGACTTAACCCAACGAGCACAGTGTTTTATCCCCTTGAGAAAGATACCACAGAGCAAGATATTTTAACATCCTGAGTAAGATAACAAACCAGAGTATAATGAATAAGATACGAGTACATCAACCTCTTCAGTAAGATAACTTGATCCCTTTAACACGATGCTTACCCTTCAGTACAGTGAGTTAATCGAGTGCATACGGTATCTTAATCCTAAGTTAAGCTAGTGTTAGTTAATAGTTAAATCAAGTGTTAGTTAAGCCAGTGTAAGGTAGATCAGTGTTATTTAGGTTTCAATAGTGAGAATATTTTTTTCTGCTTCATTTTCAACAACGTAATTTTTGTCTGAGTACAAAAACAAATAAACGTAACCGAAAGAGCTACTAGAATGCTCAGTCACCGCAGGGAAGTTGTCATTAAGGCTGTTATTTGTTCCCTTAAGCTGTTCTGTGACTTTGGGTTGTTCTGTGATCCCTTAAGTTCTTTTGTGACCCATTAAGCTGTTATATGACTCCTAAGCCTTCTTATGATCGCTTAAGCTGTTCTGTGACCCATTAAGAATTCTTGTTACCCCTTAAGCTGTTCTGTGACCCATTAAGAATTCTTGTTACCCCTTAAACTGTTCTGCGAGACCTTAACTATTGTGTGACTTCTTTCCTATGACCCCCTAAGCTTTCTTGTTATCCCTTAAGGTGTTCTGTGAGCCTTCAAGCTGTATTGTGACCCTTTAAGTTGTCCTGTAATCCCTTAATCTGTTATGTGACCTTTTTAATCTGTTAACCTCTTAAGCTTTTCTACGACATTTACGCTGCTCTATGACCTTTAACCTTTCCTGTGAATGCAAAGCTTTCCTGTGGCCTCTCATCACTTCATCAATAAGGCTGTCAGTCCCCCCTCCTAAGGATTCCCATGAGGGGAGAAATTGTAAGGGTCGTCCCGTTGTATTGACCTCCGACCAGCTCAGTGGGGAAGACCCTCGAGTTGTAAGGAGGTGGTGGTGAAGGAGGAGCTGGTGGAGGAGGATCTGGTGGAGGAGGAGCTGAGGGAGGAGGAACTTGTGGAGGAGGTGGTGGTGGGGGAGGAGCTGGTGGAGGAGGAGCTGGTGGAGGAGGGGAGGAGCTGGTGGAGGAGCTGAGGAGGAGGAACTTGTGGGAGACGGAGGAGGAGCTTTGGTGGGAGGAGCTGGTGAGGGAGGGAGCTGGTGGAGGAGGAGCTGGTGGGAGAGCTGGTGGAGGAGGCTGAGAGAGGAGGAACTGGTGGAGGAGGTGGTGGTGGGGGAGGAGCTGGTGGAGGGAGGAGCTGGTGGAGGGAGGGCTGGTGGAGGAGGAGCTGAGCCGGAGGAAGAGCTGGTGGAGGAGGGAGCTGGGGGAGGAACTGGTGGAGGAGGGTGTGGTGGTGGGGGGAGGAGCTGGTGGGGGAGGAGCTGGTGGGGGGAGGAGCTGGGGAGGAGGGCCTTTGGTGGGGGGAGGAGCTGGTGGAGGAGGAGCTGGTGGTGGAGGAGGCTGGTGGGAGGAGGAGGCTGGTGGAGGAGGAGCTGAGGTGGAGGAGGAGCTGGGAGGAACTGAGGTGGAGGAGGTGGAGGTGGTGGGGAGGAGCTGGTGGAGGAGGAGCTGGTGGGAGGCTGGTGGAGGGAGCTGGTGGAGGAAGGAGGCAGGTGGAGGAGGGGGAGCTGGTGGAGGAGGAGCTGGGGAGGAGGAACTGGTGGAGGTGGAGTGGTGGGAGGGCTGGTGGGGGAGGGCTGTGGTGGGGGGGAGGAGCTGGGGAGGAGGAACTGGTGGGGAGGGCTGGTGGGGAGGAGCTGAGGTGGAGGGAGGGGCTGGTGGGGGAGGAGCTGGTGGGAGGAAGGAGCTGGTGGAGGAGGAGCTGGGGAGGGAGGAACTGTGGTCTGGAGGAGGTGGTGGTGGGGGAGGGAGCTGGTGGAGGAGGGAGCTGGTGGAGGAGCTGAGGTGGGAGGAGGCTGGTGGAGGGAGGAGCTGGTGGGAGGAGCTGGTGGAGGAGGAGCTGAGGTGGAGGAGCTGGTGGAGGAGGAGCTGGTGGAGGAGGAGCTGGTGGAGGAGATGAGGGAGGAGGAACTGGGGAAGGAGGAGCTGGTGGAGGAGGTGGTGGTGGAGGTGGTGGTGGAGGAGGAGCTAAGGGAGGAGAAGCTCGTGGAGGAGGATCTGGTGGAGAAATAGCTGTGAGACTGTGAGACTGTGATGGAAGACGACACACACACACACACACACACACACACACACACACACACACACACACACACACATTTAAGAGTGATTGGGAATAATAATTAAAAGCTCCGGAGATATGATAACAAAATCTTAAGTATTATACTCATTTATTTCTGGCCAGTATTTTATCTTTTAAAGTGCTATTAGAGGAACGCTCTATTAGGTAACAACCATAATGTATTTAATATTACGAGGTTATATTCCCCAGGGTAATGGAACACGTGTAATATCACCAAGGTTAAATATTATACAGAGTTCATCCTAATGGACTCTCTCAGGCGGTGTTAGACAGGTAATGAAGTCAACCAGAGTAAGTCGGACATTCTGTATGTTCATGTAGTTGATGTTGGACATGTCTGATATTCTCGTGTCCTGGTGGTTGTTGGACACGCACCATATCCTCCTTGGCGGTGCTAGACATGTTCTTTATCTTCCCAGGTAGCGTAAGACTCGGATTATTTCCTCTCAAGTGATATCATACAGACAATATGTCCACAGGGATGATGTTAGACAAGGAAATATTCTCCCAACTCAGTATAACGTCTTGGAAAGAACGGCTGGCAGCTGGGTCATTACCATCCCTCAAATGGTATTGTTTCTGATTGTATTTCATGAACGTTCTCTTTTCTCGTGTAAGCCCGCCGCCTCAACCTTTATCCACCAACTGAACCACATTCTCGAGGTTGTGGTCTCCAGAGCTGACTGTTGTATCGCTGTTCCCTCCGCCATAAAGTGATATTAGCTCAGTGTATCTCCGCTAGCGTCCACGACATGAGCCATTCTGGTACACCAATGCTCGCAGCTTTATTGTGGTATAAACCCTCTGGCTGTATGTGTGTGTGTGTGTATGAATGTGTATTTTTATGAATGTTTCTGAAGCGAACGAGAGGAAAATACACTATTTCAAATTCTAGGAAATAAATGGGTATTATCGCGTCGCATTCAAAAAATATTCGTCCAAATGTCCAGACAGACGTTTACTCGCCCGATATTCAGAACTGTTGGAATGACCTCTCCTAACTCCTCGTCCACTAACAGATGGCGCTGGTGTAACTCACATGAGTACGATAAAGTTACGAACAGAAATAAAGAGAAGCTGTTATCTTTGAGTACATTACTGCTTAAAGATGATTATTTCATTATCTAACAAAATTACTTACAATAATTTTTATTGCATAATCAATTTACTTCATAACTTAATTATTTTCCCATATATCATTAAAGTAATAATTATATAATATTCATAACAACGCCATTATAGGTACTTCATATGGTATGTAATTAAATAAACAAGTAAAATAGGATATATATATATATATATATATATATATATATATATATATATATATATATATATATATATATATATATATATATATATATATATATATATATATTTATTAATCAGACTATAGTTCACTCTAATTACTGTATAAATTATTGCATGAAAAAAAAATCAGTACGTACGTTTGAAATAATGAATGGACAGTGAAAGCCTCAAGCTGTAGTATACAATGGCGATACCTGGAACAATTGTACCAGCGATGAACTACTGGTACAATTAGATGGTTTGCTGTTGTGTGTGTGTGTGTGTGTGTGTGTGCGCTAGATAAATTATTCCAAACAGGTTAGGTGCAGTGTCACACGTTAGACAGACTGGCCGTAATGATAAGAGTTTACTGAAGGTGACGCTTTATAAATTTGAGTTAGTTTTCAAAGTCATCGGGAGTTTCGAAGCCAATTTTCATTCAGAAATTTAGTGAGGAAAAATTCAATTGTTTTTATTTTTAGGTAGAAAAAACTCATAAAATTGCACTTTAATCCGACCCTCACTCAGCACTTCGTCAAATTTTTCACTGTTTACCCCGGACTAACACTCGTGGATCAGCTTCCATCATCATTAAACTCATTACTTCCACTAGCGACCGTAATCTGTCCCACTCTTCCCTCTCTGACTGTCTGTTTGTCTGTCTGTCTGTTTGTCTATCTATGACACACACACATTATGATACATTAAACCAGAAAGTCATAAACATCAGAACAAAAATATCATCTCCATGTTATCGGTTTTCTTACAGTCGTGGGCGGCAGTTTGGTAGACAACACGGCCCAGCAAGTGAGCAAGACCACCACCAACAGACAAAGGCAGGACCTTCCCTCCAGCGGCCACCACAGGAGGCACCAGAAACAACAGCAGCAGCACCAGCAGCACCACCCACTTGCCCTGCCCCTGGCCACAGCCTTGTCTATGCTCATTACCGCACCAAACGCCTCTGAGGACGCCGACAACTCCTCCAGCGCTGCCTACTTCGTCACCCCACTCCTTAATCACGTCACCACCAGGGCGGGCCAGGCGGCCACTCTCACCTGTATTGTCAAGCAACTGGGTAGCAGGCAGGTGAGTGGTCATAAGTTGATACACTTGTCAGCTGATAACAGAGAGGTAGGTAGTGACTCCAAGGGTGTGTGTGTGTGTGTGTGTGTGTGTGTGTGTGTGTGTACTGTTTACAAATGTATGTTTGTTTATTTGTGTATGACTCGCCTCCTCTTCAACCCCCCCAAAAATTATTATCCCTTCTTTCACCTGTCAACTGACCAGCGTGACTAATTACACCAACAGGCGTGTCTCTGGTGTACAGGTGTAGTAGTCTACAAGAAACCTTATGCGCATTCTGTCACAACCAACTTGACAATAACGACTTTGTTCCTGTTGCAAAGTTCCTTGATTGTCCTCATCACAGGTGTTGATTCTAACAGATGTGTCTCTGGTGTGCAGGTGTCGTGGATCAGAGGTCGTGACCTACACGTGCTCAGCTCTGGTCAGGTGACCTTCTCGTCTGACTCTCGCATCAGTGTGTCGCACGTGAAGGACTCCTGGACGCTCACCATCAGGTACACTCAACCCCGCGACGCTGGCTCCTACTCCTGCCAGGTGAACACCCAGCCGCTCATCGCCTCCTGGTACAACCTTACTGTTGTAGGTCAGTCCCTGTACAACCTTACTGTTGTAGGTCAGTCCCTGTACAACCTTACTGTTGTAGGTCAGTCCCTGTACAACCTTACTGGTGTAGGTCAGTCCCTTTACAACCTTACTGGTGTAGGTCAGTCCCTGTACAACCTTACTGGTGTAGGTCAGTCCCTGTACAACCTTACTGGTGTAGGTCAGTCCCTGTACAACCTTACTGGTGTAGGTCAGTCCCTGTACAACCTTACTGTTGTAGGTCAGGGCCTGTACAACCTTACTGTTGTAGGCCAGTCCCTGTACAACCTTACTGGTGTAGGTCAGTCCCTGTACAACCTTACTGGTGTAGGTCAGTCCCTGTACAACCTTACTGGTGTAGGTCAGTCCCTGTACAACCTTACTGGTGTAGGTCAGTCCCTGTACAACCTTACTGGTGTAGGTCAGTCCCTGTACAACCTTACTGGTGTAGGTCAGTCCCTGTACAACCTTACTGGTGTAGGTCAGTCCCTGTACAACCTTACTGGTGTAGGTCAGTCCCTGTACAACCTTACTGGTGTAGGTCAGTCCCTGTACAACCTTACTGGTGTAGGTCAGTCCCTGTACAACCTTACTGGTGTAGGTCAGTCCCTGTACAACCTTACTGGTGTAGGTCAGTCCCTGTACAACCTTACTGGTGTAGGTCAGTCCCTGTACAACCCTTACCCCCACTACCACCTCCAACTGGGAGACATAGTGAGGAAATTTATTATACAGAATCTCATATTAGAGCTTGTGAAGTAAAAATTTCCTTGAGCTTCTTAAGTCTCTCGTGGCATTAAGAAAACATTGAAAAATCTCTCTCTCTCTCTCTCTCTCTCTCCCTTTCTCTCTCATTAATTTTTTTCTAAGTCGAGAAGAGCGTCGAGACAAGGAAATAAAAAACTCTACATTAAGAAATACGCGATGAGAAATAGACATAGAAAATAATGCAGTGAGAGACGAAATATGTCTCTAAAAATTGTGGCTTTTAAGATTAACTGTTTTGTGAGTCTAGGAAGATCACCTGTGAGGAGGCTAATAGGAGGTAGATAGATGCCTGTATACTAGTGTTTTAGTTAAGAGTGAGGAGGAGACTTATCATCCTCAAGGAGTTAAACCATCATTGCCAAGGAGTGAAATGAACTAAATTATTGGAGCAGCTTGTCTTTAAAATAGGAAAGTTGAGCAAAAAGTAATTAAAGCCGATGCCTTTTAAAGAGTTCCTGCACATAATATCCTTTTACTTCTGTTTTTTGTCACCGCTATTTTTCGTGTGGACGCTGTTAACCATGTGACTGCTCGCTTGTAAGCCAATTACATTTTCACTTACGGTTATTTCGCTTTTCAATTGGCTGACAACAAACGAATGGCAGTGACTTTTGTGAGCGCCGGAACTGTTGTCTTTATTTTATTTGTAACTATTAATGTCTTTTATTATTTGGGTAATTGGTATTTGACGCAAATAAGAAAAGGAATAGAACTGCATTTGTATTATTCATAAACATTGATATTTTAGTTTAAAAAAGACTAAGTATTAATTATATTTTTCCATTCTTTTTAAAACAATTGTTTGGAAATACACACACAGGTGAAATATACAAATACAAACTTTGGTTCTCTTTACTTGTTCGTTTGTTTTATTGCCAGCTGTACATAGTAAGTTTTATTTGGGGTACACAGAGGGGGGGGGGGTGGAATGTTGGTGTCAGGACCGTGTATATACATGAGGACAATCCAACACACACATACACACAATCATGTCAGTTTATCATAGCGACGAACTTTTTACATTAATTGTTAAATGTTTTTATCTTGCAAGAAATTATTTGTAAGGTGAGGTGAACGATCCATAAAAAAAGAACTTTGTCCTTGAACGTATAAGACTTCATTAACAGGATCTTCGTTACTACATACGTTTGGCAGCTCAATTGCACACCTCCATGGCCTTACCCTATTGGCGCCTGTCATCAGATTGTAGTTATCGTACTGGTTTTCTCGTGTGGGTACAAGATAATACAGATTAAAAAAAGGTAAGAAGATGTATTTGGTATTTTAAGTGTTAGACTGTATGATTTTTATGCATAGTGAAGATATGACTGTTTGGTCAGCTTTACCTATGTCATAAGGACGGAATATACGAAGAGCGGAACTGAAGGAACAAACAGACGAAGAAGAGAATAACATTACATGATAACCTAACCTTAACCTAACGAAACCTAACCTAACCTAACCAAACCTAACAAAATAACGGAGTTGTTGTTGTACAGAGGCGCGGGCCAACATCCTGGGGAAGGAGACCATGTACGTCCAGTCTGGCAGTACTGTCACCCTCGAGTGTGTCATCAAGGAGGAACTTGTTATCCCAGGTGAGCTCTCTCTCTCTCTCTCTCTCTCTCTCTCTCTCTCTCAAGAGTCCATTACCTACTAAAGTACTAAAGAGCCAAGTAGACCAGCTGAGGTTTCTGTTGTCCTCAAAGTAACATTAGTCCCTCACTGACCCTGATCCTTTATAGTGTGAAGAATAAGGTTTATAGTAATGACAAACTGGTCATATATAAGACAAGATTAAGTAAACAACAGGTGGAGGAATATTAACTGTGTGACCTTTAGTGTCAACACTACAACTGATTGCTGCCCGCTGATTGGTCTGAGACAGTACCAGGTGTTGTTCACCAACAGGTCTGGTACAGTACCAGGTGTTGTTCACCAACAGGTCTGGTACAGTACCAGGTGTTGTTCACCAACAGGTCTGGTACTATGGTACCAGGATGACCGGCTGGTAGACCGAGACTCGAGGAGGGTGAAGGTGGTGACACAGGTAGCCAACGTGACCACCAGCACCCTGACGGTGACGACGGCAGCCCAGCAGGACTCCGGCAACTACTCCTGCTGGCCCTCGTCAGGACGACCCGACAGTGTCCTCGTCCACGTCATACAAGGTAAACGAAATGTATACACCTGAATTGTATTAAAATGAATATTAACACACACCACAATATTTCATTTACAACATTTAATATTCCATACTTTGAGTAATGTAAGTAGCTTTCGATATAACTTAAGTAATCTATACTGATGTACACAACGTAATTATGTTGACATAGAAAGTATTTCGTATTCCTAACACGATACGGTACTGTAGAATAGTCTGCGCCGCCACACGTTATGTCAGACTGGTCCACCTCCACACACGCCCTTGAAGGTACAGTAGCTGATCCATTATTAACGGTAGACATAACACCATACACGAGCTAAGTATATCCACAGTTCTTCATCATACAAGCATTCACATCATACTATCACCTCAGAATGCACCACATTTCTATACATAAGGTACACCACTATACTCCCTATGGTGTAGTGGTAGAATTAGATGTGATGTATAATGAAAACTATCATACACCTTCCATGTTATAAATTTTATACAGATGTTATACAATAATACATCATGTGTATAAGGTCTCCCTAGTACAATCCAACACACACACACACACACACACACACACACACACACACACACTGGGTATTAAAACCAAGAAGAAACAGTATGAGATAACATACTATGTGTACAAGTTTATGTTAGCTTGTAGTGTTAGTTTGTAAGCATTATAAATCTACTATATCACATAATAATGAATACAAGGTCCATATAAGGATTCACAGATCTGAGTGAGTGAGGTCGGGGAGCGGACCAGCTACTTGAATTGTAGATGAAGCCTCAGGTTGGTGCCCCCAGACTCGCAGCAGTAACCCAGGGGCGTGGGACCAAAGTCTTGTTGGTAGAATTTAGGTTTTATTGGCTGGTGGTGGAGGGACGTGTGGCTGCTGCTGTGTGGAATACTGATGTCTTCTGTGCCACATAACATAGTCTCCTCCTCTTATTTACCTTCTGGGATTTACTTATGACAGAGATGGACATCATTTTGTAGAGTAATATGTAGTTGTGGTTGACTTGGCAGGGGAGCCGCCGGCCGCCATGCAGCACGGTAACTCAGCCGCCTGGGTGTCTACACTCCTGCTGGTGCCTGCCACTCTCACCTCCCTCCTCTTCCTCCTGACGTGACACTGACTCGCCCACCGCCACAACCATCAGCCTCCACAGCCTTCACTACAGGAGCGTCCTCACCTTACCTTCACCACCATAATGCTCTACTGTCGTCGTTCCTTATGTAATGTTTCAACACACTGCCAGAGGTCGCTGCTCCCTGGTGGCCTCTCCTACCATATCAACAAGCCAGGGAGCCGCCAGGAGAGGATGGGTCTTGTCACCTCATAAGTGAAGTTTATCAAAAAAATTTATCTTAGAGCAAAAGGTTATATTTAAAACAGTGAATATTATGTTATTTTGTGGTAAGGTTCTCGTAAAAACAGCCAGGAATAAGTCACCAAACCTGACCTAACCTATCCTAACCTGACCTAACCTGACCTGACCTAATCTAATCTACTTAACCAAACATAATATAAAGTTCTTAGACTATACCTTACTTAAGTTAGGGTACTGTAGAAAGGTCAGGTTTAATTTAGTTGATTCACTTCACAGCGATATAACATGTCTGTGTTGATAGCCGGCCATGTTGAACGGTGTGTACACGAGTATGAGTTCACGACAAAATATTCCACTATGTATTTTGTACACGTTATGGTGGTGGGGTGGTGTTGTGGATGACTACCGGTATAGTTTGAAATACCTGGTATGTTTTAGTACGTTTACCTGGTGGTTACTTGTCTCTGCTAACTATAACAGGTAATGAGGTACTGGTCAATAACTGGTCATTCCACCGGCAACCCTAAGATCCCCAGAGTAATGCAAGTATGCTTAAATGAGTGACCCAAACACAGTCATAAGCTGCACCCACACTGACGCCAACCACATTTTTTTTTACAGTTTTAGGTTTGGATTAAATATTGAAGGAATTATTACTAGCATGCGTTGTTTAGCTCTATGAACGCCTTTCCTGACTGGCTGATCCACTGACAAGACCTTCCCGTGCACCCGGTTCAAACACGCCACGGGCTTAGCTCCTCCCTGCGTAATCTGACACCCACAGCTGATAGTCAACCACCAGTACGTCATGGGTCGAAAACAAAACTTCTTTAAATATATTGAATAAAAGTTGCGAATACGATTGTTGCAGTTTGTTCAATATTATACAAGAGAATCTCACCATCTTGAACACATAGGATACAAATGAAGGATTATTGATATTTTATTATTTAGTTATTTTTTTTACGGGATAATAAACGATCACTTTACAGGAGTTTAGTTTGATGGAGGATTTAGCCAATTTGTTTCTTATAGTGTAAAATGGTTACACTGTCCAGCCAAAGGTAAATTATATCACACATCTATAGTTTTATTATTAAATTATCTAAGATTATCTATGATTTATCAGTTATCTTGAACTGTAAAAAAAAAATCTTTCTCTGTTGATATTTTTGGATTCCCGTTTTTCATCAGGATAACAGGTATAAAAAACAGTGCCGTTATCATCCCTCTTGTATTAAACAGTAGTGAGGATTAATAAACAGGGGCCTTCATCAGTAACTGCCTGGAGGAGCTGTTGACTGAGTTTACCTCCTGGTGAGTTTACACACACACACACACACACACACACACACACACACACACACACACACACACACACACACACACTAACAGTACTATGAGGGAACCCAAATATACTAAGAATTTACCTAATGCTGTCGGAGAACATATTAAGTATATAATTCTCAAGAAGTGTAAATGAGGTGTACCGTAAACTTCAGCTTCAGATAAAGACGTGTGTATTATCCTCTTATCTTCATGAAGTTAATATAGAGCCAACAGAGACCTTCAATCCTTGCCCAAAACAGCATAAATATCATATAATTAATAACTGAATCGAGTGTCAGTAAAAAGACTCAAAATCTCACATATACTAAGCATTCTTCTGGGCATCTTGGAGGTGGTATAGGTACTGAGTCACGACGTAGGTAATATATCGCGTGTTTCACAAGAAGTTAAGTTAATTTAATATTGACTACTGAATACAGATCAAGGAGGTTTTTAAAGCATCTCATAGTCAATCAGATAATTTTATACATACTACAGGAAAGTTGAACTGCTTGAAGATCACTTACGTAACTTTGCTAAACACCTCACATATACACAGTGTTTTATAGGTACTGTGAGGTTACTGGCTGGTGGGAGGCGAGAGTGTGACACTGTCTGTAACACAGCTCTCAACATATTTATATACTGTATATCTTTCATACAGGTCTATGTTATTTTTACAGAATGTATATAATATGTATGTAGATATATGTATGTTCACGAGTATGTGTGTGCGTGTGTATTTATGTTAGTGTGGTTATGAGTGCATATTAATGTGTGTGTGTGTATATAAATATGGGTTATATACGAGGGTTGAAGTGAGCCTCAAGATACAAGGGGGTTACTGTAGACTGTGTTAAAAGTACTTTGGACGAATAGGAATATTTTCAAATAAATAACTAATGTACCTCTGTGGATTTAATGTCCTTTTATTTATCACGAGACGAACACAACAGAACCCACACGGCTGTTAGTGCAGTACATGGCCACAACACTACAAGGACGAAGACACACAGTAATAGTTCAAACTTGATGAAGATGGGAGAGAATAATTAGTACACCGAGAGAGAGAAGAGGTCGTACGAGATAAACAAAGAGAATGACGACCACAGTTGCTGAAGTGTGGAGACTACTGCTACTATTGTTGTCACTCATATGTTGTCGTTGTTGTTTTGCTTAAGATGCTTCAACTACAAACTCACACAACAAATATTCCTGATAATGGAAGAAGTAAACAACGCCCTTATCTGGTTGATTGATAGTGAAGCACAAAAAAATAACGTCCAAGCATAACATGACATAGTAAGACTCACCCTTCACTAAATACGTTCATTAAACACCATGTACAATAAAAGTAAAGAATCAGTGACTTTTTCATGAGTGTTTTAAGTTAGCCAATTCAGAGCATCGTTATATTCTCACGAGAGGAAAATTTATCGTTGGAAACTTTGTGAATGTAGACCAACGCTTCTCCAGCATCTGTCAACCTTCCTCAGTGTTTTGTTGATCAACCTTCACTTTTCGTCTCTATGTTAGCAGGTGTACTTTGTCTGCTCTCAAACTCTAATGAACCTGCCATGGCCAGCGAGGGAACATACACTGTACACCGAAAAAAAAAACCCAAGTATAAAACTGCCACAATGCGTACTGCAGGAAAAAGCAGCCATCAGCCTTCAACATCCGCTTAAACGTGTGTAACATGAAATACAAACAGTGCTACTAATTTTTGACATCTACGACAACCAGAAAAAAAAAACGTAGCTGAAAGCCTATCAAAAAGTAGACTCTCTGTAGAGAAGCGAATCACGGAACAGCTTTAGTGCAGAAATAGAAATACTAAACAAAGAGGTCAGGTGTAAATATACAAGTGAAGACTGTCCGTAGAGGATTAAAAGCTCCCAGAACAGATTCAAACGAGGTATAAAAAGAACCAGGAATAGACGAGCTTAGAAACAATAGACAGGGGATTGAATGCACGTTATAAAGGATTGCTGTAGTTTCCGGTTACCTGTGGTTGCATTAATTAAAGGTGAACTGGAAGCAACATTCATAAATGTTTATGTGTTAAGTGTTGAAAACCAAATGGTTTTTTCTTCATTTATCAAGAAAATAAACTATTGCACAATAACTCGGATATCACCGCAATTAAAACTATAAGCTGTGAGCATTAATAATGGACTCAGTGACGGGAGTTGAACTGGCGATAGCCGGCTACTTAATTGATGACTCTGTGGTCAAGGTGTGAGGTACAGTGGGAATACACTTGTCACATGTCCAGTTAATGACTACTCACGGCTCATAGTTACCGTGGGTGATGTAATTATATAGACCTAATGTATGTAACCCACATCTATATAAGACAGGGGCTAATACAGGATTAAAAGCTTAATATGACGGGTAGTTCTGAACAAATGTATAAACAGAACAGAATACTGATCTATATATCGATAAACACGTCTGATGGCAGAGGACATAAAGGTAAGGGTCTCTACTGCCAAACCTTTCTTGGGTGAGAAAAAAGATTAATACACAGACAGCTGTAGATGATGAGACTGTCGTGGGGAGAGAATCATGAGCATAACTCAGGACTTATTAATATTCAAAGGTTCTTCCTGAAGTTTAAGATGAGAAAGAATAATATTGTCACTGGTGTCAACATGAATTAGGGAAGATCTTTTGAAGGGAAAAGAGCTGTGTTCTCCACCGGTCTCCTGTGTTCTCCTCCGGTCTCCTGTGTCTTCCTCCGGTCTCCTGTGTTCTCCACCGGTCTCCTGTGTCCTCCTCCATAACACTCCTTACACCCTCCACTACTAGTTCCCTCCATACACCCTCCACTACTAGTTCCCTCCATACACCCTCCACTACTAGTTCCCTCCATACACCCTCCACTACTAGTTCCCTCCATACACCCTCCACTACTAGTTCCCTCCATACTCCCTCCACTACTAGTTCTCTCCATACACCCTCCAATACTAGTTCCCTCCATACTCCCTCCACTACTAGTTCCCTCCATACTCCCTCCACTACTAGTTCCCTCCATACACCCTCCAATACTAGTTCCTCCATACCACTACTAGTTCCCTCCATACCTCCCACTACTAGTTCTCTCCATACACCTCCACTAGTTCCCTCCATACTCCCTCCACTACTAGTTCCTCCATACACCCTCCAATACTAATTCCCTCCCACACCCCCTCCACTACTAGTTCTCCATACACCCCCTCCACTACTAGTTCCCTCCTTACACCCTCCAATACTAGTTCCCTCCATACACCCTCCACTACTAGTTCCCTCCCATACTCCCTCCACTACTAGTTCCCTCCTCCACTACTAGTTCCTCCATACACCCTACTACTAGTTCCTCCGTTCCTCCATACTCCCACTACTAGTCCCTCCATACACCCTCCAATACTAGTTCCCTCCATACTCCCTCACTCTCCAATCCAATACTAGTTCTCCATACTCCCTCCACTACTTGTTCTTCCATACACCTCCAATACTACCCTCCTCTACACCCTCCACTACTAGTTCCCTCCCACCCCACTACTAGTTCCTCCCACTCCAATACTAGTTCCATACACCCTCTCCTCCAATACTAGTTCCCTCCATACACCCCTCCACTACTAGTTCCCTCCATACTCCCTCCACTACTAGTTCTCTCCATACACACCCTCCACTACTAGTTCCCTCCATACACCCTCCACTACTAGTTCCCTCCATACTCCCTCCACTACTAGTTCCTCCATACACCCTCCATACTCCCTCCATACTCCCTCCACTACTAGTTCCCTCCATACACCCTCCAATACTAGTTCCCTCCATACTCCCTCCACTAGAGAACAATGGTAGCGGCGGGAGGAAGTCTGACAAGTTGGAGTTTTTATCGTATTATCGGTAACGTGTCACAGCCATATGTGTCAAGATCCTGGGGGAGAGACTCCTTCAGGTGATGTATTACTACCACCCACACACACCCACCCACACACACCCACACACACACACACACCCACACACACACACACACACACCCACCCACCCACCCCCACACACACACACACACACACACACACACACACACACACACACACACAACAAACTTGAAAAAAAAAATGAATAAAAAATTGACTATAGAAGCGCTACCCTATGTTAACACGGTTTTACATTGACAGGTCCCTATTGTGCTCTCATCGACTCTCTGGTTATCGACTCAAATTATACATGACATATACATTACACGTATGAACAAAAGCGTATGTTAGAAAATTACTGCGATGCTATTAATTCAATTCGTTCAATTCAATCTACAGTAATACATGTAGGTTTTAGGGTACCATCGTGTATATATGTATAGAGATGTAAATATAATAATACAATGGACTAAAGCCAACTCGATATCCACCATCCACACTACAGCACCCAGCCAGCCACCATCCACACTACAGCTTCCACCCACCCGCCACTCAGGCCAGTTCCCTACACCGCTCAAAGCTGTCGTGAAAGACCAAACCAAATTCACATTGCACACTATCTGGACAACTTACACAGCTCATTTTCCACGGAGTAATGTTCTCATTAGTTTAAAACATCTTTAGATACACCCAGCCAACAGGAAGGAAGGTCTCTTAACACAACACTCCCTCGCTCGATATACTGTGAGGAGACTTTATTGGAGAATCAATAAATATTGTTCACGTAAAGCACCAGAGAGAAGGTCAGAGTTCACGACCCCACACCAGACGAGGGTTCAGAAAATAAAAACATTAGAGGCGTTTTGTGTTAAACTTCAGTAAAAAAAATTATCGTATTTCAGGAAAGGTAATCGATTTTTTCTGTTATATGTCCACAATTTATGTATATTTAACCCTTCCAAATTCGTACGTATAAAATATTCAACGAAAAACAATCAATTCATTAATCAAAATCATAAGAACTCACCCTAAAACGTAAAAAAAAAATGAAAATGGCTGATTGTGTGATACCATAAAAAAAGGAATAATATTCTTTAAAACATTCCAAATATATCTACATTATATATCACTTAATTATAACACCCTCTTGAAATGTGTGCTATTTCCGCCACACAGACGTTCATCCAGCAAGGAAGGGTTTCAAGCAAGAGTTCAAGAGGTACAATAGTAAAACACGTATATCTAAACAATGTGATGTGGAGCCAGTAACGCACCGAAAGGGAGGAGGATCACCCGACTTGAGCCACGGCATGCAGCGGTAGGAGAGCCACGGCATGCAGAGGTTTAGCAGAAGAGCGCAGTATGGAATGTGAGATGAGAAGTGAGAAGTTACGAGATTACAAGACTCGTAAAATTTAGCGCGAGAGACAGCGAGTGTGAGACTGAGTAACTTTCTGATTGTAACATACGGCCGCGGGAATGATATGTGGGTGAAATTCAGGTATACGGTGTTGGAAAATGTAACGGAGGTCAGAAGGAAGTATCGTAGAAAGGAACATACTGGTGAAATAAAGATCGAGGAATATTCACTTGCAGATCAACAAAGAGGGATATTACTACACCGAGGGGTTAGTAATGAAAGAGAAAGATAGTGGATAGTGACATAAAAGAAAGCAAACACATCATAAAACCTACACAAAATAAAGATAGCAATTGTGAGTTGGTGAGGGAAGCTTAAAACTGAATTGAATAAGAATAAAAAAAAATGTGGAGTTTAGTTTCTTAGGTAGATAAAATAAATACAAAATAATGAGGACAAATAATACAAGACTAAAAATCTCAAAACAAACAAACACACACACATACATTAAGGTTTTAAAGATAGCTCCTTGCCAACTTGGAAACCGTGAAGTGTCTCTGAAAAACGAGCCAAATTTTTCACGTGTACTTCGTCGTAAAAAAACTATGAGAAAATTATCTATATTT